ATTTTTGAGTATGTTCTTCTGAAAAAGTAGATAATTTCTTCTTGTGCATTCTTTGGCTAGCCAGCTTAAATTCCATATCCTTTTAAAGTAGCACATTCTAAAACTTGTCTTTGTTTATTTTAGCTGTGCAGAAGAGCATTAAATAGATCTGTCACTTGTTCAGTAACTGGACAAAAAGCCACTAAGTTTCTCTGTAACTATGAATTTGTTTAATAGAAATTATTTTCTAACTTATATTCTCAGCTTTTGTTACCTTCAAATTTAGAGCTCCTTTATAGCAAGGAGAATTTTTTGAACAAATGATTTTTGTGAATGTGGGGCAGCATAAAACATGAGGTACAGTTCATAGACCCTCATAAAATTTTAAAACTCAGTGGATAACTAAAAGCTCACCAGTGTTCATTGATTGTGTCAGTTTTCCGTATTACAACCTATCTTGTGGCTAGAACCCAGGTATACTGGCTGCTATGCTATTGCTTAGATGGAACCTAGATATCCACAAGGCTAAAGAAATAGTGGAACACTTTTAGAATGCCATGCTACTTTATACTCTGGGGGCTTACTACAGTAACCTAGAAAATTATCTCTAGAATTCTGCATAGAGAAAAAAAGAACTAAGGGAAGAATAAAACATATTAAATATTAAAAGTCTTTTTTTGTGGGGGGGAGAGTCTCATTATATAGCCCCTCATTAGCGTACTGTGGCATCACAGCTCACAGCAACCTCCAGCTCTTGGGCTTAGGCAATTCTCTTGTCTCAGCCTCCCGATTAGCTGAGACTACGGGCGGCAACCACAACACCCAGCTATTTTTTTATTGCAGTTTGGCCAGGCCGGGTTTGAACCTGCCACCCTCGGTATATGGGGCTGGTGCCCTACTCACTGAGCCACAGGCGCCGCCTAAACGTTTGTTTTTCTTAAGAGTATTGATGTTCTAGTTTACAACCATCACACTGAAAGGTTATTAACTCCTTTTTCCAAACTCTGGGGCTCAAGAAATACCCTTGCTTCAGCCTCCCAAGTAGCTGAGACTACTGTGCCAGCCACAGTGCCCAGCTAATTTTTTAATTTTTTATAGGGACAGGGTTTTGCTGTTATTCAGGCTGGTCTCAAACTTCTGACCTCAAGTGATTCTCCCACTTTAGCCTCCTAGAATGCTGGGATGATAGTCAGGAGCCACTGTGCCTGACCTAAATGTATTAACTTCAATTGGGTTGTATAGACAATATATATTTTAAAAGGTGATGTTATAATTTAAAGCTGATGCCGAGGTTCTCTTTGGCCTGTATGATGTTATCCATTGAAAAATGGAAATACTGTATTTCTATTAAAATGGGTGATCTAAAATATCCACACAGATTTTACCAAATAATCTCTTCATTAACCCAAAATGAATCCTTTGAGAATTTTTTCTTATCTTTTCTCTGAAAAATTCTTTCTAGATGCCATAAACACTATACTAATGTTGCAGATCTAGAAAAAAGCAGCATCAGTTAGCAGCACTTACAGTGGGGAGGAAATGCCAGTCATATGCTAACTCACTTCCCCTCTGCACATACTCCCAGGTCTGCCTCAGAGACAGACTTTAGGGTAACAGTTCTCAAAGTGTAGTTCCCGGAACTCTGGGGGTTCCCAAAATCCTTTCCAGGAGTATTCAAGTTGAAAACTCTTTATCATGATACTGGGTATTGTTTCTGTTTTTCACTATATTGATACTTGTGCTGGTGGTACAGGACAGTAATATGTGTAACGTATGTTGGCACACAGATCAATACATTGGCCCCAAACCGTGCTAGTTGTATTCTTAACTGCTGTACATTTGTGATTAAACCATAACCACGTGCCATACAAAGCAAGTCCACTTTCACTTAAGATTCCCCATGATTAAACAGTAAAATTATTAGTTGTATTAAATTTTCACTTGCATACAATCCCGTTACTATTCCCTGTGATGAAATGCTGGGTGAACACTAAAACTACTCCCTCAGCAGGACAGTTGTCTGCAGGAAGGCACTTGGGTGGCTGGTGCATCAAGCTGAACTAGCCACATTTTCCATGGAGCGCCATTTTTACTTGAAAGAACAACTAAGTAGAGTATTTGGAAAACTTTTTTTTTTTTTTTTTTTGAGACAGTCTCACTTTGTCACCCTTGGTAGAGTGCTGTAGCATCACAGCTCACAGCAACCTCAAATTCTTGGGCTTAAGCGATTCTCTTGCCTCAGCCTCCCAAGTAGCTGGAACTACAGGCACCTGCCACAATGCCTGGCTATTTTTAAAGACAGGGTCTCACTGTGACTCAGGCTGATCTCTAAGCTGTGAGCTTAGGTAATTTACCTGCCTCGGCCTTCCAAGTGCTAGGATTTCAGGTGTAAGCCACCACGCTTGGCCCTGGAAAACTTTTTGAGAAGATGAAATTAGCCTGTCACTTCACAGAAAATAACTGAAAATTTTTGTTGCCAGTCTCAAAATTTGAGCTTTAAACTGAAAATTAGAATTTAAGAAAATTTCTATGTGCCTGTTAGTATGAGCTTCATAGCTTCCCAATACTTCAGATTTGTGGTAAGATTGAATTGTTATTAAGATTTTAAATATTGTGTAATGAAACATGCCAATATTTAGAAGATCTCCATAACTTAGCAACCTAAGTTGCAATGACCAGTATGTGATGTTATAAGATCATGGGTGGATAAAAAGATCCACTTGAAGAACAGAGTAGACCCATGAATTTTAACATAACAATTCAAAAAGTTCATTAGGAGAGTTTCCAATTTCACAGGGAACTAACATTTATGAAATTACTACTTGTCAAATTTTGGTGTGGTAATGAGGAAAATTTACAGTTATCTGAAAAGACTATTATTTTAATTTTTTTAAAGGTTTTTTTTTTTTTCTTTTGCAGTTTTTGGCCAGGGCCGGGTTTGAACCCACCACCTCCAGTATATGGGGCTGGTGGCCTACTCCTTTGAGCCACAGGCGCTGCCCTGAAAAGATTACTGTTAAAATAGTCTTCCCTTTTCCAACTGCAGTTGACCCTTGAACAACACAGGGGTTAGCGGTACCAACTTCCCACACAGTCTAAACTCCACGTATAACTTTAACTATGTGTATGATTAGCCTACTGTTGACCTCACCAATGACAGTTGATTAGCGCATATTTTGCATGCTGTATTCTTAAAGTAAGGTAGAGGAAAGATTCCATGCTAACAACAAATGAGCTTCTTATTGATATTTTAGAATGTTTTAATAAAATGTTTGGTAAAGGGTCTCAGTTTTACTTTATGCTATGGTGAATATCAGTAGCTATAACCCAAATCAAAGCTTTTGGGGGTCCTCAGGAGTCTTAAGACATATAAAGCTGGTCTTGAGACTAAAAAGCTTGAGAACTGCTGCTTTCAAGCTTTGGGACTCCAAAGTGTGCTCCTGGGCACCCCCCAAATTGCAGAAACTAGGACCCCAACTCAGACCAGCCCCTGCAGTCCAACAAGATCTTCACATGATTCTCTGGTACACCAAGTAAGCGCTGTCTTCAGAAACCTGTGGAGGCAGCAGGGCAGTGCAGCAGTGATAGACTCCCTGGAAAGTGAACCGGCAGGGAGGAGGACCAGAGGCTCAGACGCAGATCCCTCCTTTCCCTAAAGCTTGCTCTCTTCTGCGTCCTTCTGGCAAGTGTTGTTTTTGTTTTAGGTGTTTGAGATTGCTTCGAGGTCTAGCAAAACTCTGGGCTCAGAAAGGGTAGGCCACTTAGGAAGGGAAGATGCACTGGCGATTGAAGCCTGCAGCCCCAGCCAGCTTCTTGCTGAGCGAAATGTGTCTGTCCAGGCACATGCTTGTTACTGGGAGGTTTTGTGTGGTATTCTGGCCTTATTTCAGGTTTGTTCTTTTTTTTTTTTGAGACAGTCTCACTAATGCCACCATTGGCAAACTCTTGGGCTTAGGTGATTCTCTTGCCTTAGCCTTCCAGGAAGCTGGGACTACAGGTGCCTTCCACAACACCTGGCTGTTTTTTGTTGTTGTTGCAGTTGACGTTGTTTAGCTGGCCCGGACTGGGTTCAAACTTGCCAGCCTCGGTGCATGCAGCTGGCACCACCATTACCACTGTGCCTATAGGCACCGAGCCTCCAGTTTGTTCTTATTACTAAGGATAATTGCTGTTGCTGTAAACTTAAGATGCAAAATGTAGAAAAAAAGAATCTCATTTAAATTTTAGTTGTAGGCTCGGTGCCTGTGGTTCAAGTGGCTAAGGTGCCAGCCACATACACCTAAGGTGGCGGGTTTGAATCCAGCC